GTCCTGTGCACTGGGCTACAAAACAAGCCAAAAAAAATTTCTTCATTAAAAAACAACGCAATATTATTTCGGGTTGAATCATCATCCGGGTCAACACACAAACTAGACTCCACAAAGGCCCAACAGAAGGATGATTTATGTGAATAATATAAAATATAGAACAAGGATAAAAAGACAGAACCAACTTCCTTTCTTATGCAGACAACTTCACCGAAGGAGCTTTTCACAAGAAAACTCTTCTCACTATGCATGTTGAGTCTTGAACATTTTCGCATAACACACCGTTCCTTTCTCTAGGTCCTCCCTTTTTTTTGTTGACCAGAAGTCAACAAAAAGAATCATGACCTTTGGTCATGGTTTCCAGTAGGTAACGTAGTGAAACGAATAGGTGTCCAACTCAAAATGACATAGTGCTATTAGATAGAGAAAATGTCATTCGGAGTCTCACCTCCTCAGTGGAGTCACCAAAAATGTAGGTGGAGAGTTAAAAGAGGTTAGCACATGTATCTATACGAAGGGTAATCAAAGAGGGTGAGTAGGATAAGTGGATGGGATGGGAGGAACTCGAGCAACCTGTTAACGAAGAGACAAACCAGTTGGATAGAGAGTAGGTGAAAAATGCTCTCACCTGCTAGAAAATCCTCTTCTGCAGTGGGCAAGTAATATGTGCATTTATAGCACAGTGCCTGGGCAGATTAGGCTGCCTGCCGCGACCCCCTATCACCTGTGCGAACCCACAACCGCCTCGACCGCAATGATACCAGTGGCCGTTAACATGAGCCATACATCCAAACATTAACTATGTAGATATGATATTTCTCCAAACGCAACATGGACGTGGTCTTGAGAAAGGTGCAATAACCAAGGCGAGAGCGGGCTCCCAAGGTCCATGACTACGATTGGTCATCGTAGGACCATGATCTCGAGAGGGCCATGTCTACGATGCCACCAGCGTGCTTCTACCATGGGGCCTTTCCTTCTCTAGACTCTTCCTCGAGACTTTTGTCGAGGTGCTCAATAAAGGAAATTCACATAGTTTCGGTCTTTCGGCCATCAATCCACATGTCCCATCATCCAATATGCTGATTCAGACCAATAACCCTAGTTACCTGTGGAGTCTCTCCGGATCCTTGTCAAACATATCCTAGTAGGTAGTGAGCCATACACTAGGCAGCCTGCTCGAGCAGACTAAACTTTCGAGATCTTGCTCCAGGGCGAGGTTGATAATTGTGTTCATCCGTCCCTATTGCTCAATTCTCCTTTGAGAAAGGGTCATACTCCCCTATCCCTAGGTGGGGACACCTCTTAGTCTAGTGGGCTAGTCGAGCAACGACATTCAATAGGTTGATGACACTATTCCCGTAGTGGGGGAAGCGAGTCTCACCGAGGTTTGTCCCACACTTCTGCGATTCCATTTCTATCCAACCTTGGTGAAAGGTCTATTTTGTCACTTCTAATGCGATAGAGATGTATCTCGCCTTGATGCGGTATTGTGCTTGAGGGCGCGACGTCCCTTATGCTTAGGGGTGTCGCGTTTGCCACTGTTATCTATACTAATCCAGTTGAACTCTATTGAGCATTATTTTCCATATCAACTGATAATTATTGCCGCTTGTTCTATTATGGTGGAGACATGTGTCTTGAACTTATCGGATACTGCAACAATAAACAACTATAAAACAATCCCTTAAACAGTTCATTAAAATGCTTATCACCTCTATTTTCTTAATAAAAACATCTATTTTATAGATGAAAAGGTTATTCGCTGCTGCTATTTTTAACAAGCTGACCATAATAAAAGAGGCAAGTCTTAGTTTTTTTATTATGAGCAATGCTATTAGAACTTAATTTACTGACTTAATTTGCTGACATAATTCATTATGACTTTTTAATTAACTGTAGAGTCCACCAAACATTAGAACTTGGTGTTGATTCAATAACTCTATTAAAATCACATCATTATATCAACAAATTAAGTCAGATTTTTAGGTTCAAATAATATTACTCTTTTATTATTTAAGTTTTATTTTCTAAATTACCATTCGTATACGTGACAAGAAACATCATTTTAAGAAAGATTCATGAATTCTTCGAACATGCATTTGGCAGAATTTCACTTGCAACTTCTTAATTTTTTTTCGCATCATATTTAGTAAAAATTACATTTGAATTTTTTAAAATTTGTTACTTAATATGACACCTAAACAATAACACCGACACCCCTGTTGGTAGCGGTCAACTTACGGGCCTAACAGAAAATGTAAATTGACTATTGTACCCTTTTAACAAAAACCAAACAATGCCTATCCGACCCAAACTCAAAACCATACCCGAATCCCAAACTAGGTTATCCAAATTCTTCTTCGATTTGTCTTCGGATTCTCTCTCTCTCTCTCCCTCTCCCCCCTCCCCTCTCCTCCTCTCTGTGGCAGAACCACCGCTGCCACCACCCAATCATTATTTATCTCTCCCACAACGATTTTACCCCCTTCCCTGCCTCTCTCTACCCAACGATTCCACCACCACCACTCTCCATCCGCCGCTCGTCCTCCCTCTCTTCCTCCGTCACCGTTCAACAGCTTTTCCCTCTTCGTATCTCTCTCTGTTAGCGCATGATTTTGCTTGAACGAGATCAAAATTCTCAAGATTGTCTTAGTTTTTGGCTGCTTCAGTTTTTTTATGGCGTCATCCAGCAATACACCTAGCACTCGTGAAGATGAAGATCAAGACGAGGAGGTATGCTGTGCATTGTTGCTTTCTTTTGTTCAACATTGCCATCCATTGCTTCTCTCTTGGTGATGCAGTTATTATCTGAAATTTTCACATAAGCTGTTTATCGCGTATCGCGTGCATTAATATATACTCGCTATGTAATTATTATGTATTTTCAATTCGAAACAGCCTAAGTCCAGAATTGATAGAGTGAATTGCTCCAAGAAAAGAAAAGATTGAATACGAAGATAAGTGTATATTAAATGGTAAAAGATATATTTTCTTCCTTTTTTATACTTTATTATCATAAGGGGAATGTGTTTCAATGCCCAACTTGGCTGATGTGTAATAGCTACTCCAAAAAACAGCTTCAGGCACTCCAAAAAGACAAAGTCATTAACTATCATGAAAAAGGGAATTGAATGCGTGAGGTTGTTTTTCAATTGCCAAACCTCAACCTTTAAGCTTATTCATTATAAAAGTAGTAGTCCACCTTGATCAAGAAGTAAAGTTCCATTTACAATCACAAATTGGTTGCTGCGCCTTGGGGAAGAAAATCAGTAACCCTCGAATCATTTCATTGTTGGAGTCTTGGAGAAATTTTTTAGTAGTACTTTATGTGTTGATTTTTGGACTTGAAGTGCCAGCAGCTAGCGTTGCCCTAAGAGGAAGTGTGTGGATTCAAAATGGAGTTGTTGTTCCTCTGCATCAGTGATTATATCACACCCCAAATTATTATCATTTAATTGCAACTAAGAAGCTTGTAGATTGATACATTCTTTTTTTCCGCAGTTTGAATGCTTTGATGATTTCACTCTTGCCTCTTCGTGGGAAAGGTATTGTTAGTAACTATTTATAACTGCATGCACATCCTCTTTCTACGTGGCGATTCCATTTCCCATTTTATTTAGAACAGTTTTATTCATGTAACATTGAACAGGAACTAGTGAATCTGATATTAGTATTACTAATCTTGTGTTTTGTAGATTCATATCTGAAATAGAGGCTGTTTGTCGGCAATGGTTGGCAGATGGTCCAAAAAATTTGTTGGTATGTTTGGTTGGATTAGAGAACTTGGCTTTGGGATTTGCAATTATATCTGAATGAATCAACATTTGTTCGAATACACAGGTCTACTTAGCATGATTATGTTCAGTCATAAGGATTTGAATAATTCATGTATCTGTTGGAGTTAAAGTCTGTTTCCATATTTATCTACCATGCTCATGTATCTGGTGCAATTAAAGTTTCTTTCCACTGTTATCTACTATACTCGTGTATCTAGTGGTATTAAAGTTTCTTTCCATCCTTATCTACTATACTTGTGTATCTGGTGGAATTAGAGTTTCTTTTCATCTTTATCTACTAAACTTGTCTAATTTAGTAGTATTTCCTCTTCTCCTCCTCAGGGGCATTCCTTTCTTTAGCTGCCTTAACTTCAAGTACAACAAAAAACATTTATTTCAACCGATGGAATGGCTTTTTTGGTTCCAGTTTTAACCAGTGAACAATCTTGATTTTTTTTGGGTGCATATTCACCTTGTTCCCTCTAGCTACAGACAAAATTAAAATATCGTTTCGGTGCATTGTTTCGATCACCTAGGAAATGAAAAAATGTTTTGACCTATTTCGAAAACAAAATGAAAACAAATATAAAATTTGAGAATTATTTTTTCAAAACATTGGTCAAAATATACTAAAGTATTTTGAAACAATTGTGTAAATACGTTGAAACATTATGAAACAACTCGAAACACCTCGAAATATTAGAATTTTGATACCATCACCGATTTGTTTCGGTCTTCTTGCAAACAGAAACGTTTTGACTTGACTGTTTCGAAACAAAATTTTAATCTTTGGCTATGGTATATTTGTGCATTTTTTGTTGGGGGCAATTAGTTTTATTGGTTTATTCCTTATTGGTGATTCGGAGGGTATGATTTTTGACAGTGTGAACAAGCAATAGTTGGTCTTTTCATGCAACTTCATTGCTTGATCAAATATGTTCCATTCATGAAAATTTCAAACCTATTTCATTATTTTTGCAAAATGGAGCGTTGTCTTCGCGTGCATATATATGTGTGTACGAATGAAAACGTTTGATATATGCTTTTGGGTCGAAATTCAACTACATTTGTTTGTATTACACATTCTCCATTGTATATTTGTGAAGTAGTTCAATCTGGATTTGATCCTTGAACTCACTATTTTTGCCCTACATATTGATGTATTCCAGTGTGAGATGCTCACATGGTAATCTTCTTTCAAAGCTTCCCCACCAAAACCCCCCAAAAAGGTGCACCTCTGTGTTTGGAATGAACTATAATGGATATAGAAAACACTTGTAAGTCATTCAATCATTTGTTGGTTTAAGTTTTCTCGTTGCCAGAAGTTTTCGTAATCATTTCTAAATGGTTCCTTGGATTGTTTCCAGATTACTGGTTTTAAAGTTTTTAGTGTTTAGTTACGGCTTCATTTTTCATTTCCTGTTTATGGTGCTTCAGTGTGTCATTGTTTTCTGATCTTTATTTTTTCCCTCAAGAAACAATTGTTGTATTTTCTTTTCCATAGTTTTCCACGCTATGTTGAATATAATTATATTATTCATGATTGTGTACAGTGACTTTTTATTGAGGACACTTGAATCTCGATTTGATCCCACCTCCCACATTTTGATCACAACTCATTATGCTTATCTAAGATGGTCTAAGTGATTTTTATAATAGGGCGAGTTTGGTAAAAACTACCTTGTTTTGTAAGTAGTGTTGTGAACTGTGGCCAGCTTAAGTTCTTAGAAAGCCAAGAGTTTTGGGAGTGGCCTCCTTGATGTTGTATCATATCCCTACTTCCAAGTAAAGCTAGCTTTTGATCAATTGACTGGCCCCTGAATGGGATGTGGTAAACAAATTATATGAAGTCTCGCTCCTATGTAAGTACTGTACTAATCATTACTCTTTGATGCTATTTGAAATCCAATGTCTCTGTCAAGGGGTTAATTAACAATATTCTTTATTCAAAACCTACTTGTATATGGATCTTGGTGCTGAATCGGTGGAGCACTATTTGGACTATGGAGTGCAACAGATTATACAAACTAATATCTGAAGTGCCAGATTTATTCTTCACCAAGTCAAACTGCCAGTGATCTGGTGAAGCATTATGAATTTTCTTATGCTTAGTTATTTCTACTATCAATAACAAGTATCAACATCGGGAAGACAGAAGTTACCTAAAAGACATCAGGAAGACAGGAACACAACTGTTATGTTACCATCATTTCACCATCTTCTTCTTCCTTTATTTCTTTTACCTCTCCTTTTTGTTTCTTTAATTTTTATGAAACAGCAACCGCCAAGCAATTTGCTGATTACCTTTAATTTTTTTGAGCTCCAATATTTTTCTGTATCATTTGGTCATAGGAAAAAGGTGCTGTTCATTTGGGTATCTCAAAGAACTTGTATAAGGTCAAATCTGAGCTGAAATATGTGATGAAAAGCTATTGCATGGAGTACTACTTTGAAACCAACAAGGGTACACACATCATTCTGTTTAACATCAATTTCAACAGGAGAATTATTTCTAACTCTGTCTTCATTATGGTTTTGATTGTCCCAGGAAAAGTTGCAGATTGGAATAGCACTTTGCATGATCTGCAATTGTCTTTTGGGGTGAAAGAATTTCTGGTATTCTTTTAAATCCAGCATCTTGCACTCTTTGTGGAATGGTACTTCCACTATTTTCACACATGCAATGTGTTTGCATCACCAGGTGATTGCACCTCAAAGTGCCAGTGGAGTGATTCTTGATGCGCCAGAGGCTAGCAAGCTTTTAAGTGCAGTGGCCATCGCTTTGTCAAATTGTTCCAGGTGGATTTGCTAGTTAATCATAAACTAATATTTGCTTTCCTGATCTATATATGAATTCAAGTTTAAATTTGAATCTTTTATCAATGAACTTGTGTCCTATGTTTTTATATTGCAATTATTTGCTTAGTTTTTTTTAAGGAGAATCAAAAAATTTTAAAATATTGTTATGCTTGTACCATACAGTTTGTGGCCAGCATTTGTTCCAGTGCATGATCCTTCTCGGAAAGCTTATATTGGTATCCAGAATATGGGGACTGTTTTTACGAGAAGATTTGAGGCAGATCGTATTGGTAGCCAGGTTCCCGTTAAGCTCATGCATTTGGAGGGATTGTACGAGTTGTTTATTTCTAAGTTTGTATGTTCCACCCTAGTTCAAATTTCTTTTGTCTTCTTATTCTTTTTTCCTTGTACTGGTTTTTCAACAGTCAAAGCTGGACATAACTGCACATGACATGGTTTGATCCGTGTGCACCTTGTGGGGTGACATAGATCAACTAGTTTGATGCATTTTGTTAATGTTCTGCATTATATGAAAACAAGGGTAGTTTGTGCTTTTATTTGACTTTGAAGCTAGAGAATTTTAATGCTGCTCTTATTATTTTCTGATCTTCCTTTGCTTGAAGTCTTCTTGTGGTATTTTTTTCCCTTGTAACATCTATACCCTCAAATGACACTTTCTAATTCCTTATGGGCTGAAAGTGCTCTTAAAATTTTCATCTATGTTGTCTTTGGTGTTAACTGCCTTCTTATCTAATCAGATTGGCATGTCTCTTTTCATGCTCAATTTTGTCTGTGTTTACACAAAAATTTGTCATGTTCTGCATTTGTGCAACTTTCAGTAAATTTCTTCCTTGCTTTGGAATTTTGAGCATATAGATTAATGGTTGTCCTTACCACTCATAATTTTCTTATTTTCATGAAGGCTTTCTCCACATTGGACCTTTCAATGCATCTTTTCAAAGTCCAGTTTTCAATGAAGCTAACCTACAGAACCATTCCCTATGATGATGACGATGAAGTGGAAGCAGCTGATACTGAAACTACTGAATCTGGTGGGAATCCTGGAGGTGACACTCATAACAAAATGCAATGGGATGATGATTGTCCTTGGAGTGAGTGGTATTCTGCAGAGGACCCGGTAAAAGGCAAGAGATTACGTCAATTCCATTCCCTACAGTAGGTTCATGTTTAAGTTCCAGTTTTTGGACATGTAGGGGTGGTAATTGACATTTGGCATATCAAAGATTAATTTAGCCGAGGACTCGGTATGGGCATGCTAGTTACGCATTTGCAAGTTATATGTTATCCAATGATGATTCTGTCTATTTATCTTGTATACTTTATAGTTTGAGTTGAATTTGCATGATTTGAAGTTTAGCCTTGCTTGAAGCCTTCAAGTCCTGTTAGATGGTGGAAGACAACTGGTCCCTCACATTTTTTGAATGAATTAAATGCAGGATTTGAGTTGACTGCCATATGGTCAGAGAAAACAATTGAAAGCTCTCTGGATATGGCTGAATTGGAAAATGTTTCTGTCCATGAAGCTGAGAACTGGTTGATATTTCCTAATTTGTCGCCGAACCTGTAAGAAATATCTGGTTTAGATTGTTTTTGTCAATTTTTTTGCTTTACGTGTAATGTTTATTTGTCAGCATGGTTGTGATGGTCATTTGCTATGTCATACTGAGATACTTGTATTATATGCAAGGAATGTCAGCCCTCCCAATGATCCTTCACTTAAAATATCCATAAGATGGGGTTTTTATAGATCCAAAAAAAATGGAATTATTCGATTGAAAAGTTGCTGTTGTTAGATAACTGTTGACATTCTTTTTGAAAAGAACCTGGGATGCCCTTTGCTTCGGGTATAAAATTTCCTTGTTTACTAAAAGACTCTCATGCCCATAGAAGGAGATAAAATTTAAGAGGGGGAAATACCTTTTGCACATTTATAATATAAAATAGGGCAGACTTCAATAAACCCATCTGACAGTCTCAGTTAGATTCATCAAACGACTACTAACATCCCTGTCAAAATCATTCACATTGTATCGTGTTTTCAGGCACAGATTACCCTAATTACCCAAATAAAACCAACGGTTTCTTGTGAAACTTTCTTAATTCCAGAGTACTCTGTCTAAAGTTATCTGACCTTGAAAAGTGATCTTTCACTGTATGCCAGTTAACTACCAGAAATACAGAATGGGTTTGCTAGCATTGCCACTATCTGAGGTGCCCACTCACCATGTTGTCCCTTATGCCATGAGCGCTGGTGTTGGCATAAATACCGATTGCACCACATGGCAGTTGGCATGACTCAGTCAATCTAGGCCAATTAATAGTTTTTTGTTACTATGATTCTTTTTCCCTTGTGCATCTCAATCAAAGAAAGTTTATTTCAAGTTTCTCTATCCCTTTAGTGACCTTATAATAAAGACTCAAAAAAATAATTTTGGCTAAATGATTGTGCTTTTGGAATTTAACTGGTAATTAGAGATGTTGCGGAAAATGTTGCTGAAGTTTATACTATTGTATCAACCACAACAGATTTTAGAATGTAAAGTTGTGGGAATAGGGGATAATTTACTTCGTGGTTTCATATTATTCAAACTAATACCTTCATTGTTTCTATAGTTAATGTTACCTGGATCGTGGGTTGCTTTGGTATGTGGTACGGGTACACGGTACGATGAGGGTAGATTTAGGTCGTTAAATATTTTGTCGGAATTCGTTTTGGAAATCTTATCTAGATCGTTTTTTACTATTATGCAACATTATATATCATAGAACATCCATTAACACTAAACAATTGCCATTTATCTTACATTTGTGCAGAGTTTTCTATTATCTAAAATAATATATAATTTTAAATAATTAAATATATATACACGTAGTCAATTAATATGTATTTTATAATTATGCTAAATGTTTCGAATTGATTTAAAATTAGTATTACAATTTGGGGTTGTACATTTTGGTTATTTTGGTCGCAAACCCACTCTGTTTAGTATCAATGTACCTAGATCGTAGGTCGTTAAGGATCTAACGAATTCTAGTAACTATGAGTTAAACTCTAGGAAGCAAGGATGCGAACACGGAGATATGACAAAATTTTAAAATATAGGACATGGGTACGACGAGAATACGACTAATTAAAATAATATAATATATTTTTATATATAATAACACTAATAATAAAATTGAGTTATTAATTAATATTTTATAATTAGACAAATGAGTTAATATTAAATTTGATTAGTGAGCTAATATGTTATGGGCAATGGGCTAAACCAAATTGGGTAGTGAGTTATTTGTCCAATTATAAGAAGTGCAAGGGTTATCTGTAATTTAGCAATTAGGGTAAAGAAAAAAAAAAGAAAAGAAAAAGACGCTGCTAAAGGCAACTAGGGCAAGCCCCAGCTAAAAAGAAAAAAAAATAAAAGACGTTGCCAACTAGGGCAAGCCGACTCACAGAGAGAGTGTGTGTGTGCGTGGTCGAAGAGACATCTAGTGGCATCAAAGTTCATAAGAGCATCAGGATGAAGAAATAGAAGGAGGAGAGAATAAAAAGAAGAAGAAGAGATTAAATACGATATACTTGATCTTTCGGAGGAGGTTTGTGACTGTGGCTGATCTCATGTCTATATAGTCTTCTTCCTTTTTTTTGATTTCAACACAGAGCTGTAGCTGTGGCCGTATCCGTCCACAACAAATGCTTCATTTGTTGTTTAGGACACTTATGGAAGTGTCAAACACATGTTAGGCCGTGTCCCATGCGTATCTGTGTCAGATACATGTCTGACACTATCCTAGGTTAAACTACGAGGTCGTTTAGTAACGTTTTTATTGTCGCGTTTTCAAGAAAATAAAAAATAAATACAATTTTTGTTTTGTTTTGCGACAAACACTGAAAACAGAAAATATGTTTAGGAGTCATTTATATTTACCAAATTATAAAAATAAAAACAAAAAATATGTTTGGTAACCACTTCAAGTTATATCATAATTATTAGCTTTATAATATTTTCTATTACAAAATACAAATCAAAATTCATAATTCATTAACCATAGCAAATAGCTGTCAAATAACTTAGACGAATATTCCAAAACACCACACTTTGCATACATCATAGCTATAGATACATTGGGGAACTGATTACACTTAACAACATAAGTATGGATTTCATTCCCTTGCTTTAAAGCTCTCAATTTTCCACACATACTGTGACCATCATGACAACATCAGGCTTGAAGCCTTCGTATTGCATCCAAACAATTGATCTCAAAGCTTGCTCAAGCCTCCCATTTGAGACATATCTCGAAATCAAAGCAGTCCACTTGTGCGGTTTTGCTTTCAAACATTTTGTTGGACAGGTAGAGGGCAAGTTAAGATTCATGAAAACACCCAGCTCATACACACACACAAACCCAATTCATACACACATAGACCCAACACACAATCTCACACACACACACACACACACACACACATAGGCCCATGGACACAAACACCCAACTCATATATCTCTGGTTATATATGTGCATATATATACAGATCTATACATATATACAGTTTTTGGACTTTACCTTCACAACAAGAGAGAGATCGATGGAGGGCTTCGTTGAAGCAGGCAGCAACGACGAGAGCTTCATTCAAGTAGGCTGCAATGACTTGTGAGGATGAGAAAGAGCTTCGGTTCGTCTTCTAGAAGACAGAGAGAGGGTGCTTCGGTTCGTCTTCGAAGAGAGAGAGAGAGACGATGTGAGGATCGACTGAAAAAATGACTAAAAACCCCAATTATTTATACTTCCATAAGAAATACACATCTTTTGTTGCTAATAGGGATCGAATCCGAAACCTCATTAAACTCCTTCACCCACCGAGCGCGTGTTTCGTGTTTTGGTTGTTTCCTAAAACATGATTTTTTTGTTCCCATTTTTTTAACTTGTTTCCAAGACAACTTAGATGAAATAAAAAATAAAAACAATTACCTAACACGTTTTTATTTTATTTTTTTTACAAATTACATAAAACAGCAAACAAAAACAGCAACAAACAACCCTTACATCTTTTGTTAGGTAATGTCACTAATGCTAGTGAACAAAGCATGTTGTTTTCCAATTTTACCCATTTTATCAATTATATATTTTTAATGAAAAAATCAGGTCATGCTGCCAAAGAAACCAAGTAGTGAATCCAAGCGGGCTAATAGTAATTGGCATATGTCCCTAAGACTGCCATCAAAAAGGGTCCCTTCCTCAACCCCCAGGCACTCTTCTCAACCATTACATCATTTAGCTTCACTTCTATGCATCAATCTAGATCACTTTTCAACAAAGCCATCATGTATAACAACGCCATTGAAATCTACATACACATTCAACCCACAATCTCCTTCAATGTGTCCAACCCATGACCCCTAATCCACTGTTGGCAACAACCACTATTGAACTGCCATAACCACCTAACTCTTTAATGTCCACCACTTGCACACGCATGTACACACTCTTTCGCTCTCTCTTGAGTTTTGGGATCCTGGTTGGAAGCTAACCAGGAGAGAAGAATTTAGGTTTTGGTGCTCGTAATTCATATGTGGAAGTTGAAATTTTTGTGAATTTTTTAATGATTGAGTGACCAATTTGATTTGGAGTTATTGATGGGTTTTTTTAGCATTGGATGATAGTTAATTTTAGGAATTTAGGATATTTAGCAGTTTGAATTGAAATTATTGGGTACATGATACTGGGTTTGAGTTTGTTGAATGTGTTCTGGTCAGTGGTCTTGGGTTAGATGATGTTTAAAGAGAGAGTTATGAAAAAGAAAATTCAGTGTGTTTGTGAGGGTCCATGCATGTGTAAAGGTAGTGGTGGTGAAGGCGGCTTCAGTGGAAGTGGGATTAGTGGATACCATTGTGTGGGTGACAGTGGTGGTTATCGGCTTCAATGGGGAAGTCAGTCTAGTAGACTTGTTTAGTTTTTGTCTTTTGTTCCCTTTTTGTTATCCCCCTCTCTTTTGTTTGACTTTATTGAGGGTAGATTTGACATTTGGAAAATTAGTGCAACATCATGAGCAAAATTAAAATAAGGGCAGCACACTATATGAGATGCTTGCCATTGTGGGGTCTAAGGAGGGTCAGATGTATGCAGCCTTTACCCCGCATGCGGAGAGGCTTTGTGTAATTTCACTAGCAAACTCCAAAGTGATAGTTAACGGATGGGTGGTTTGTGATGAAACCAAAACCAAATGGGGTGTAGTGAAATTTGGAAAACAACAAGGGTGCCCCTGAAATTGTTACAAACCTTAAGGGTTCTCTATGTAATTATCCCTAAACTTCATCTTATTTTATGTGTCATTCCTCTTTGATCATCAGCTAAAAATCATCTGGCACAATTGTTCATTCTATGGGCTACCAATAAAGTACAAAAAGAAGGAATAGCTTTTGATCGTATTTATAAATATGACATATATTGTGGACATCAGGTCAACGATATTTACCGTATTTTTGAGCTTGAGAATTGCTGCTAACTATGAATTCCCAGTAATTAGTTATGTCTGGCAACACTGTTGTATTTGTGGTAAGTGTTGAAGCCCTAAAATTGTTGTGCTGAGATTATTGGTTCTTTTTTTCCCTTATTTTTTTTTTTTTTTTAAGAAATTTAGTTATTGCATGATATCTTAATGTTTTTGAATTGAGTTATGCAGTACTCATCTGGTTTATGACAATATGACATGACTTGATATGTGATCAGCAATGATGGTTCTAATGGAAACACAATTGGATTTGCATCACAACTGCGCCTATTGGTTAATGCATTGGTTATGTCCTTAGGGGCTCAATTTATGGAAGATTTTGTGTCAGGTTTGAACACTTTTTATGCATCATCTGGACATATTTCATATATATCTTCAATAATTTGAAATTTCTGCTTCTGATAGTTGGAAATACATTATCTGTTTGGGATTTTTACACAATTGTTTGTCTTTATGATTTAGCAGTTGAGAACTCAGGATCTGACAATATGAAATCTTCAGCAGTCATACCTCCACCCACAGTTCTTGATCGTGTGCTCAAAGATCTCTTTCATGAGGGTACACCTTCTCCATTCTCTCCTCAACCTCTATTTCCTAAAATTTGGTGTGATTGGTCTTCTCAAGTCTTTAAGCTTCTTTTGCATGCTTAATTTACATGTTAGTTATTCCATTTTGCTGTAGTGATATCGAAGATGAAAGTTTCATAATGAACCAATTCTTTGTACAGGTAACTTGGCTTGCACCTGGACGTGTGTGTGTGTGTGAGAGAGAGAGAGAGAGAGAGAGAGAGAGAGAGAGGATTAACAACAGTTCATGTTGGTTGGGTAGTATGAATGTGTTTTTGTGTTTAAATTGTTGTAATCTATTCAGTTGGTATTGTGACAAAAATCTACTGATAATGTGACTGAAATTCATCGATTCGTATAACAATACAAGCTGAAGTCTTTGCCCCCAAACCTGTGCTGCTATCAAGGAATTTGTTTCATTTTATACCTCTTATACACTAAGGTTGAATACCAGCAACTTCTGTACATGAAACATGCACTTTAATTTGTCTACAAGAATTAATGAGTTCTTTATGTTCTTTTTTGTGATTGTTAGTTTGTGTGCTGTTATAAATTCCTTGAAAGGATGTTAGAAAGCTTCTAGAAAGACAAAGCAAGACACATTTGGAATGAAAGATACGTGCATTTGCAAACTTTACTAACCTAGGAAAGCTTACAAGTTGTAAGCAGATTTTATGTAATAATGTAGTCATTTTTCAAAGTTTCGAACTCTGCATCTGATGCATTTGTAGTCTGATGTCTTATTATGTTTTTATGACTACTGTTCTCATGCATCTGCAGGCATGCAACGAGATTTTGGTGAGGAGCATAAGCATTCTCGAGCTATTAAAGGCGCCCCTCTTGAGTCGCTTTTTGCACAGTTTTGTTTACATTGCCTTTGGTTTGGCAACTGCAACATACGTGGTAAGATGTAAATGAGCAAGGGTTTATTTTCTTATTGATATTTTGGTAAAGACATGAGGAGCACTTTGTTTATTAGAGAATGTTATCGAATCATTTGATACATTTTTTCACCATGTTTTTTGGTGTTATTTGTGAATTAGCTATCGCTGTTCTCTGGATAGAGTTCGTTCGAGAAGTTCGTTGGTTTTGGGAAGAGTCACAGCCATTAGCCCGAATGCCCATCAATGGTGTAATTGACCTATCGACTTGTTTGATTAACCAGAAACTACACATGGTATTAAATATATAGATTTTCCACAAAGTATTTTAGTTGATTTGTGCCTCATGCATTGTTTATGAATCGATGATTGTTTGCTGAACTTGACCATTGCCTTCAGATAGTGTTCCAAATATATTATGGCATTTGCTATAACTGTATTGCAGAGAGAAACTAAATACTTTCTTTTATTGGAGACTCTGATGTGCAAAACAATCTTAAACTGAATTTCACACGATAGTAATGTTGAGGGAGCACGAGAAGGTAGAACTTGCAATCCGTTTTTGTTCCTCTTACAAGTCTGGCGGAACTTTCTTCTACTAAGAATGATTTTGTTCTTTTTTATGACAAGCCAGTGAAAATATGTTAATCCAGTCTAGTAAAAGGCCAATATTTGGTAATCTTTTGGCTTGAGAAATATAGCGTGGTCTTATATATGGCGATCTACTTTACATGAACTGGCCTCTTTGGACAAGTATTGAAGTCATCTTGCTGAAGCAAAGCACCTGGACACAGCATGGGTTTGGAGTCAGATTGGAGGCCCAGCTGCTGGGTCCAGTCAGGGGGAGGAAGAGAGGACTTGAAAAGAAAAGAAAAGAAAATAATATCAGGAAAAGAAATAAAGAAAAAAAAATCATAAAAAAGAAGGAAGCAAACTATATACAGATTTCATGACTATAATACTGCTTAAGGACCAGGATCATAGACCTTGTTGAAGGCTCTTCAAGGTTGAGCTACCATGGATCTAAAGCTCCTACCAGCTGAAGGCAGCCAATTTTTTTTTTATTGTTGTGGGTCTGGGTCATAGTATTATATTGGTATTACTTGTACTTGGTTTTTCTAGGTGACCCAGCATTCATTGTATATAATACACAATGAATGATTCGTATTTTATGCAGTTTTACCTCTCCAATGTGTACCTTTGCAGACCTGTCCCTGCACATGAATTTTGATCATTTCTTATGCTAGCAGTGTCCCTGCATAGTCAATTTTGGAGTTCAGACTCCTGGACATGTACCTGTGCTGACGCTCATACCAGAAACCATGGCATACATGAGAAGAAGTTTGCTTGATGATTGTTAAGCTGATGGATAATTTCCTTATTTGGAAACAATTTCAATGAAGTGATGGTTAAATTATGTGAAATTCACATGTAGCCGACCCAAAAAATTTGGGACAAGGATTTGTTGGCTTGAGTTGATTCAACTTTCCTTTCCTGTGAATGAGTTTTTAGTGTAAGTCCTACACGTGTTGGATATTGCGGTTCAAGATAGCAATTATAGCTGTGTATAGTGGGAGGTTTCGTATGCTTGACCCTCAAAACTAATTTATTGAAGCAAGATCTGTTTTGTTAGACTTAAGCACCTAGTTTGATTATCTGGGACACATGAAATCTCATTCTGAACTTAATCATCAAAAAGTGGATGTAGTACCATTACATTCTTCAAATATTCAAGTTTCTTTATTTTTGTTGCAGCCTCCTTTTTCTCAAGTTTACGTCTGGATTAACTCAGGCTGTTGGTATACATCTTGCACTTGCTGATAGAAGTTGCAAAATTGTGTTCTAGTAGAGATGTTCTCCTCACTCAAGATATCTTTTTCAGGGAGTGAATTAGTGAGGTTCCTTTGATGTCAGGAGGATGGAAAATGACTACTTTGATGCAATTTATTCAGTTTAGTAATGGATGTTGTGTGTTAAACTAACTAGTAATACATGTGTCTCAAGATCTCTGAAGTGCACGGGCTCTGTGTGCGTGTGTTTTGATGTACATGAGGTTTGATGTTGTTGCAAAAGTTACATTGATCTGCCACTTTGGTGTTTAGCTTGCTATATGCATTGATAAGAAGCACCGACAGGATCAAGACCATCAAAAAGGTGTTGAAAACCAAGCTTCTGTTTCTAATCGAGCTGAGGTGAAATATGTTAAATTGTTTTCCTTCTTGTCTTGTCCATATTGCTATAGTGCGTAAATCCATCTTTGTCGTTTGCTTATTCTCCTGACATTCAGTAATTGTTTAACTGAAATGTAGGAAGATGTGCAGGTTGCAAGAGACTTGTATTCTCAGAGCGTCGGTGAAGGTTTTAGTGAGGAACGTGACAGGTGAAGTAAGCAAGTGAGAACTCCTTTGTTTTCGTCATTGAATGCTGACTAGCCTTGGTGGGGAGTTATTTGGAACCAAATTATTTCTTTTCTAATTGATATTATTAATATTGTTCGTATTATTTGTTTTCTTTTATTAAGGTACTAGTTAATGCCCGTGCCTAAACGCACTCCGTAACAAAAAAAAATAAAATTATCATTACGAAAAGAAAGCATCTATTGGGCCACACAAAGACTCACCATTGCCATCATGCCACATGTCTAATGCGTCGAATTAGCAAACAAATTATTAGCATTGACAATAATAAAGTGTCGTATAAACTCAACTAATTCATTCGTTAAATCAAATTACAATTTCAATCACTTTACTGTCGTGCCCATCATGTTTGGATCTAAAATAATCTAATTGAATACATGACAATTAAATCAAAAGTAGGACTGAACAAAGCATAGCTGTTGATGTGGAAACCACCAAAAACCATCGTGAATAAAAAATTCAAATTAGAAAGGCCTAACAAATGACTAAAGAGATATATCAATCATGCAAATGAATAATTGTCGAATGTGATGGTGCTCAGCACCCTGGACATTTGTCATTTCAACATAGCCAGTCTCGCTAGAGTATTTCTCTTTTGCTTCCACAAATGCTTCCATTTCTCTAACACATTTGCTCCATCCGGAAGGCTTGGGCAACTCTTCCAACCCATAATGCATATTTACCCCATTTCTCAAGGCCAAGGTCATTTACAAAAAGCACAATTCAATTATGCAATACCCTTTGTAAACAAACATTTGTCATCTATTTCTAGTAATTGTGAATCTATTTAAGAGTTCCACCCTATTCTAATATACCAAAATCATAAAAATAATGTTAATCATATTCTTGGAAAATATAAGAGTTGTACCACTTGTCTTCCCGCAATGCCATAAGTTAGCCATGATTCTTGATAAGTTGATTGTATGAAACAAACAATGCATTTTCCAATCATTTTTCATAAGCATTTTTTATGAAATGATAGAATCTATTTTATGTTCCTGCAAAATAAAACTTTACATCAAAAGAAATGGTTTACAAAAAATGTTGGTAAATTGAAACCCACGCATGTACACACTCATGAGAGAGTTTTAACCATGAACATGCAAGAAAAATAGCAGCGCATGCAAAGTGAAATATACAACCCAAATTGCCTGCACATACCATAATGGTCAATGGAAGTGCGCACCTATAATGTCACTGGCATAAAATCATTTTTTGAAATAGACCCATGTGAGAATTTTGAGTCCACTATGCAAGAATCCAAGAGTGAAGCCATGGACAACCACAAATCATAACTTTTTTGCAGAAAGAAAAGCAATGTGTGTGTGGAGATCAATTCCTGTCAATAAAAAGCTTTGTAACAGGCTCTTAATCAATAAACAGACTCACATTTAAATTCTCTCCCTCTCCCTCTCCCTCTCCCTCTCATTCTTGTCCCTCTCTCAAACCAGAGAAGAATGAGAGGGAGAGAATTACCATAGGAGCAGCCAAAACAATGAATCAGTCCAAGTATAAGTCCTCAATGTCGAAATGCTTGTTTAAGAAGCAAAAGAAATTAAGAAATTTGAGCCAAAAAACCCATAAAAATCACATCAAATTCAAGTTGGAAATTGTCTAAACCCAATCAAAAATTCTGTACTACCCAAAAGGAAAAATTGGAGAAAGAAAACTGCTAATTGGAATCGATAAAATATGGATTTTGCTTTGGAATAGAAAGAGAGAGCGAGTGAGAGAGGGGGGTGAATGCAGGTCGCCGTGGCAGAGAAAGAGTGATGTGTTGATGCAGCCATCACTATGTAGATGAGAGAGAAAGAGAGAGAAAGACCAATGCTTGGAGCTGCCAAGGGCAATCGAAACACACGTGGTGCCCCACCATTTTTCACCAACAATTCCTCTATGTCCTCCAACTTCGGTACCCTAGATCATAGATTTTAGAGTGACAAAAAAATAGGGTGCTCAGAATATGTATTGATTTTGTGTTGTGTGTAGGTTTGAGAGACAGAATAATGAGAGGGAGAGGGAGAGAATTACCTCTGGTTGTCTTGAGCTTTGGTGGCTCTGAGTAAGAGAATGAGGATGAGGGAGCTGGCGTCTAGCGTGTTGCGTTGATGGGGTAGATAGAAAAGACAGATATGGGGGAGATTGGGGGGGGGGGGAGAGAGGGGTGAGAGATTAGACAGATCGGGGGAGGAGAGAGGAAGGGTGTAAGACAGGGAGTGAGGGATACTTGCCAATTGGGATTTACGTGTGATGTAAGGGAAGGAATTAATTTAGAGATGTTAATTTTGGAAATTAAAAATTTTGTGCAGAAAAAATATTTTAAGAGTTAATGTGGTACGTCGGATCGAAATGATTTGAGACGTCAATAGTTTGAGACAGTTTAAGATAACGTCATTCATTGGATGATATTTTTTTTCGTCAAGAAACAATCTAAACCACTCTTTGTCTCTTGGATTTAAAATCGTTCTACTTTATTATATAGATGAATATTCAATGTTCATTATTAGTTTGTTAGCTTAGTATTCTTGATTAACAAGCTTCAGCAGTCTTTGTGCTTTCTAATGTTGGAAGATTATAACTCCTAGATTTCATGAGCTTTTCTGTTGGACAGGGTATAATAAAACTTCATGGATCTAAGAATGATAAGTCTGAAATGGTGTATATTATAAACTACAAGTTACTTTCTTCATTCATATTAGTCTATTTTTGAAAAGGAACAATTACTCTTTACATGCTATTCATCATTTTGTACTTCTTTTCCTTTGGAGATTGTATATTTCCTTGGTTTTATGTCAAAGATCAAATAAGCATATACAACATATGTAACCAACCATAATTATTTTGGATATAAGAAGTAAAATAATAATAGCAACTTAAGCTGTCATGCAAAGTTACACGTGGTTAATGTTGCATGTGTCCATATTCGTCCTTGACAAGAGAAGATTTATGCAAACTGACATCCTTTGCAAAATTTTACTGGCCACAAAGGGTAAAATTAAATAAACTTGTTTTTCTTCAGTTACTTAAAAAATCACGTGTTATGAACACATGTTTTTTTAAACTACAACGATGTTTATATGGATCTAGTTGTTGTAAGTTGATATGTTATTCAACTATTCAAGCAATAAAGAATGATTGTATGAAGACTAGAGAGTTTCTGAAAGCTGGCCAGTGGAAAGGCAGAAGATATGATTACAGGTTGATGATTGGGGCTTGGTGGTTGGCCGTTATGTTAGCCTAGCTAGGTTTGGTCCTGAGAGGTGTTTTAGGCGCGGTCAGGGGCCTTATGATCCCACCGGTGAGGGCCTATCGGGGTGGTCGCTGGGCACTATTCCTTGTCCCACCCCTTTTTTTAACCAGCAAAAAAAAAAAAAAAAAATAAAAATTATGAAGCATTTGTTATATCGTTACGTTTTTATGTATTATGGCAGCATAGGATTCTTCCAAAGAGCAAGAAGAAATAAAAAGCATTCTAGGTCACAGATGAGGACTTCCAGTTTATGAACAAATCTTAGTTTGCACAGCTAAAGCATTGTTAACCATAGGAGCTGCTACATCATTTGCATTATAAAATAATTGAATATATAATTGCATTCTGATTAAGACTTTCTGCTTATTTCCCTTGGTTTTAATTATTCATTTGATTCAGTCATCACCTACCTGTTCCTTCTGCAGCCCATCAACATCCAAAGGCCTGCGTGCTGCTGAAGCTACCAAGCCCAGTTTTAGTTCCAAGCATCCGAATGCTGTGACATCTGCTGATTCTAAACCTTCAGATTGTGTCAGGTGGGGATCAGCTGGGGTGGTGGGGTCTATGATGCTTCTAAACTCATACCAGAAGATGCACGCCCCTTTCACCCAGGTTGATCTAGCTTCAACAGACTAGCTCACTCTTCTGTTAGTTTTTGGACTCTCTTCACCATATGTAAGCATAATTTTTATTTATTTATTATTCATAATAGGATCCACCCCTTATGACAGAAGACATGCATGAAGAAAGACTACATGCTGTTGAAGCGTTTGGTGATTCATTTGTAAGCTTCTCTTCATTAGCCTACCAATTATTTTTGTCATGATAATTGATTATGTGATATATTTTCTCTAGCAGTTTGCTGCCATGCCTTGAATGGTGACCGACTTACAAGTGCATAAATTTACCTATTGGATTTTAATTGAGTCAAATTACTAGTGCATAGAATAGGATTGCTTGAAGTATGTATCCTTTCTTTTTGTGTGGCTTACTGTCTTTGATGGCACTTGATGTACATCGTGCACAGGTCCTCTAGAAATAGGGTTGAAAATCTATGCAATTTGCACATTGAACATGAATAAGCACGAGGTATGATTTCAATGAGAATATCGCAAAACCAAGCCCAAAGGATTGAAAATCCAAGCCCTTGCAAACCCAATCCTTGTTCACCTACATGAGGGATAGAACTGCTATCCGAAAGGAATTAACTTGGTGACTCCATATTTTAACGATAAAAACAGTAATGTGCCTTCATTAGATGATATTAGGACCATTCTCTTCTGCTTCTAGAAGATTCAGTAATCAATAACCGAATGCATAAGATAGCTGTAATGGTAGTACCGCCTAGCCTTTCTATGGCATCAGTCCCACTGAGATATTTGTGGTATTTTTTGTGGTTTGCCACTTTCAAGTTTTGCAGGGGAGGCTCTGGTTTGCAGGGCCTAGTGGTTGTTGCTGGGTTGTTTACATTCTTCCAGACACAAACCTAAGGAAAAAAAACTTTTCCTTGAGGTCAGATACTAACTCTAGCTCGACTAAGGCTTGCTAAGCTAAACGAACTTCTTTGATGCTTGGGTTGAAATAGGTTTATTGTGCTTGCCTTTTTTTTTTTGTATGTGTTTATTTTTGACAGTTAAATAATGGTTTTCTTGATTGAAGAATTAAGGCTCCCCGAAATATACTGATAAGGGAGAACTCAAGGAAACACACTACCAGGTCTAGAGAGTACGTAAACGTAACTACTACTCTTACACATGCCACAGCATTGCAGGACACTTTTTTTAATCAGCTCTATTTGATGTAATCTCTTACCATATTCCTTTTGTGACAATGGGGTATGATGGCAGATTGCATCCTAACTGCCTTGTCATGGAGGCACTTATTTACGTCCATTAATTTGATGGTATATTTTTACTCTATGCTATGGATTGCTTGGTATGCCTTATAAGAAGAAAGATATAACAAGTCATTTGGTATTGTTGTTCTTTTGGCATTATTGATGCATTTTTATTTCATTTGAGATTTATATTTCTAATACTTTGCTACTGTTTTCTTTCAATTTAATTTTCAAGTTCATTATTGACACAAGTCGTATAAATTTCGAGAACTGTGCTGTTATCAACTGAGAAAGAATTGCCTATGATTTTGTTACAGAGTTTCTCTGCGCAACTGGAGAGAGAGATCTTATCATCAGGTATGTAAACTTTGAATTTTATACTTAAGAGGTTTGACTTTGTTGAATAGATTTATCTCAATTAATTATGCTGTTCATTCTTCTTCTTTTTCCCCACTAATAGCAATTAAAGTCATCATAAGAAAAAGTAATTCTGCCAATAACTAGGGAACTAAAACATGATTAAAGCATCTGGGATTACTCCTGGTTGTTTCGGATGCCTTACTCCTTGGTTTTCAGATTGAGAGAGAGAGAGAGAGAGAGAGGGTACATATCGCAGTTAGAGGGAAAAAAAAAGGGTATCATGGAAACAGATATCAGAGAGACCATAATAACTTTCTTGACTCACTCTTGTGTGAATTAGAAATAGTATTCTTGTTTGGTAATAGCATGCCGTGATTTGCTGGGCAATTTAAACAGTTTATGTTGGAGACCAATTGAGATGACTCATGTCTATTGCTTACTAATGGCAATATATTCTGTGTGTTCGGACATTACATTCTTTCACTGGTGATAGGGTTATGTTGACCTGGACAAAATTTAGTTCAACTAATAATGCTTGTGACTTGAGCAACATAATGTGGCAAAACATGTACTCCTACAACGTTTTTGGGGGACTTGCTATGTTTCTATTCCATCATTTTCCCTTTTCTTTGGTGCGACATCTATATAATAAAGTACAAAGGATTTGAAATCCTCCAAAGATATAAAAATGACTTTTGCTGAAATTCCCCTATGATATAAAAATCTTCCAAAGATCTAAAAATTTTCAAACTTTGAACCAATGGCTGAAATTCCCCTATGAAATTCTACTTTTCCCACCCATTACTCTCTATTTGTAATGAACCAGTGTGCACGTCAATCCACTACCTTGATTGGCGTAGTATATTACCCATATATGCAGTCCTAATTCCCTCTCTGTGCAGCCTTAGAAAAAGGCATGGGTAAATTTCTCACACCCCGACTTTTGGTAAAATGACACTGACTCCATCACATTTTTAAAATTGCATGTCAGTGCCTTGAGTTTTACAAATCATTAAACATCCCCCTTTGCATAACGACCGTCAATAATGCCAACGAAAGAAAATGAAATCAGCTAATAAAAGTTATATACTCCCAAAGATGCCCCTCTATGGTAACACTAAATTTTAAAACAAATTTACCCCAAAAATATAAGGTGAGAAGACAATCCTACCCCTAAAATATAAAACCCTTAATTCTGTCACTAAATTTAGAATGAATTTAATCAATTACATTAACTGCCCTAATGGGAAAGTGGTTCATTTCCATTGGTTTTACCCACTGTTAAGGTGCCTGCCAAAGAACTTAAGAATTCAATCAATTGGATATTTTTTTCTAGTAAGCAATTTTTTATGTTACTCTGTGCCTTTAGGCACGGGCAATTACTAGTATATCAATAAAAGATCACGGTATTAGGGTTTTATTTAGATAGAAACCACCTCACAGTGGAAGAGCCATATACATGTTTGTTGCTTTTAGTATTACTTTAATTGAATCATCACCTGGGTATTACTATTTCTGGGCACATACTGTTTTTATAATACATATGCTTCCAGACAGTCAGTTGACTTAATGCAGCCTCACAAATAATGTCCTTGTGTGTTCATATATTTTTTGTCTAATTTTGTACATGGGTCTAGTAGCATAATACAATATCAATTTTTGTCGAAGCTTGTAGCTCCTCTCATTTGTATCCTTATTCTTTCTTCAAATATAGTGAAATGCTTCTTTTTGTTTGCCATACTTGCTATTTGTTTCATGTCATGGCTGTAGACGTATGGAACATGCAAGATGGATCCTTTTTTCCTATAAGATACGCTTATATTTTTAGCACAAGCTATGAAGTAATATTGATTGGTTGTTGATTGTCTTTTAAAATATGAACCAGATATGTCAGCATTCAAAGCAGCAAATCCAGATGCTGTCTTTGAAGATTTTATCCGATGGCATTCACCCAGAGATTGGGAGAATGATGACACTGAAAATATTGGAGTATCCCAGACTAATACCATGGATGGCTTGAAAAATGACTGGCCTCCTCGAGGACGACTTTCAGAGAGAATGTCTGAGTATGGGAATTCATGGCGAACAATCTGGAATGAGGCTCCTGCTTTGCCAGCTTCTGAGCAGAAGCCACTTCTAGATCCAAATCAAGAAGGAGAAAAGGTATATTTATTTGGATGTATTTGCTACTTGCATGTTCAATGAAATCATGGAGGATGGCACAACAAAGGGAGATTAAAAGGGTGGTCCAGTGCACTAGACTCCTGTCACTACGGGGATTTGGGGCGGGTCTTTCATACGCAACCCTAAATATGTACAAAAATCTTGTCCTAAAACAGCAGTACCTATCAACACACAATCCAGGATAGGAGTCATGGATCATTGCAATTTGAATGTCAAAAGACCGTCACAAATAAGAAACAAGTAGGGTTATGCTTAGTAGGATTTGTTTTTGTGCTAAACCTGGGAAAACAACAAAATTGTGTTATTATGATTACTGCATAATTATCCCAAATCTCGTTAATCAAAAGCAGGCTGAATCTTCCTTTGCAATCTATACTTATGAGTGACTTCCTGGTAAGTATAGAATTATTTTACCCCCACCATACTATTTTTGATGCTAGAATACCACTGGAACACAGTGGACTAGATTGTGTTCCACCTTCTGGAGTAAGAGTCTACATCTTGGGTAAATATGGATGCAGCAGAAGTCCCAACACACAAGGAATTCCCCCAAGCGAAAAATTTCCTTCAGATCTCTTGTAGCATTGATTTTGCATTAAAACCATTGAATTTCTTGTGGGATTGGTTTGTTTTAAGTGTCAGTTTTTGCGATGGGCCAAAGGGTCCACTAGAATAAGAAAAAGATCAGTATTGGGATGAAAAGTCTTTTTTGTTATTTTGACCAAACCTAGTTGTGTTTGAGTTCTTATGTCAGGATAGACTGGATCTTACATGCAAGGCTCCTTCAACTTACCGTGACACTGCTTTGCAATCTCTAGGGTCATCAGAGGATGGATGCTTTGAAATCCTTACACTGGGTAGTATGCATTGGTCATTTTTTAAAGACAATGCAATGGCATGTCTCAATTGTGTTTTTCAATTGTGAGGTGTCCTCAGCGCTAGAATCAATGGAATTTTCATCTATGTAGTCTCAAATAATGTTTTTCTATTTTTTCCCTAAATCTGCACCTACATGGCCGGTTGCTCAACAATAATGTCACCTATTCATCCTCGTATGCACCCAATTGTCAGCATATAACATGAGCTAAGAAACTTCCACAACGACGATTTGTGAATCATCATACTGAAGGACTGTTATTTTCATCCGTAGATTATAAGCAACCAACGCTCTATGTCCTTTAGGCTTTTCAATTATCCCCGAGCTCGGAGCTGTACATTTTTGGTATATAAAGAAAATCTTGGCACTCTCTCTGCAGCCTATGCTAACTGGCATGTTTGACTCTCTATTACTTGGGGATGAAATTGATTGTAATCTGAAATTTATAATGTCTTGGGATTGCTTTTTGAATCTCATATATGGTGGTAAAAAATAGTTTATTTGCATGCTCCTTTTTCCTCCTGAGATGATATCTAATGTTTCAGTTCTTTGAATTAACTTTTGGCATTTGGAACTTTGTCATGTAGGCTCTCCACTATTTGGAAACATTGCAACCACATGAACTGCTGGAACAAATGATTTGTACTGCTTTCAGAGCAGCAGCTGACACTTTAAACCAGACTACTTTTGGCGGCCTAAAGCAGATGACTACCAAAATGGGGCAACTTTACCTTACTATGGCTTCTACATTGAAGCCTTTGCAAGGTGCATTTGCCCTTCTGCTCTTTTTTTTCCCTTTTCCCATCTTGCAGTTTTGTGCTTTTGGAAGTCATCTTTCTCAATTTTAAATGTTTTATGCTTGCATTGTAGCAAATCATCCATGTGTTGACGGAGAGATTATTGAAGACTCTAGGCGACTTTGCGCAATTTTTGGGCATGTTGAGAGCCTACTAACCCTAGCAGCTTCTCTACATCGTAAGTTCTTGCAAACACCACGTCTGTCAGAAGCAATTTTCAGTGACTACTACGACTTTTATCTTCCAAGAATGGGAACAGGCTCTCTGGGATGTGATGTTGACAAGGTAAATTGCCAGCGTGCTGTGACTTCTCTTTGGCACTTTTTCTTGTGTGGCAGAATAAGTGATTTCTAGCAGGCTTTAATGAAAGCTCTGCTCTTATTTTTTTCTATTGTGGATTACTAAGTAGACCTCTGCCTGGGAGATCATTTCATGGTGATCAGGCTTTTCATAGTATTTATATCCAATCATAGTGATTTCTTTTCGTAGAGATTCAAATGCTTTGCTGTGACTGGCTCATAGTAATTGCTTTCAATAGAGATTCAAGTGCTTTGCTGTGACAGGCTGGTGGTTGAATCCCTCCTATGATATTGGCCTATTCGACCAAGTTAATCCTCTCAGTGCGTTTCCCTCGGTTGCTTTTAATTAGGCTGACATAGTTACGCTCTTCATACGTATAGGATTTTGAAAAGAAGCAACAAGTAAGATTGCAAGAGAGAGAAGTCATTGCAAGCATGTTCACTCCACCCACAGCCAATCAGTCATGGAGAAAAGCTTTGAGTATGGGAAATCTTCTCAATGGCCATGAACCAATTTTCAGGGAGATCATATTTTATATGCGCGATAGAGTGAGTGGCAGTTACTACGCCGCATGCTCTTCTACGGGTTATCAACAAGAGATAGAAACATATAGAATGTACATTTGTGGAACTTCAAATGATCTTCAGGTTGCACTATCTGTTGCCTCTTGCGACTAGTCTCTTCCTGTAACATATTTATATGCACTTTCTTTGTCATTATTGTTATTATTTTTGTGGGTGTTTTTTTGTTTTTATCATATTTGAATTACATATGTCCTGACACTGGTTTTGTTTTTGTGATCCGGACATTTGATGTGGATGAAATTATATCAATGTGCTTGAAACAAGGTTTATTGTTTTATCTGGAATTGTAATTTTTTTGGGCAGTTAATGAAAATGAAGTAGCAACAACTCTTGGATATTATACATGCACATATGTTAGTATATTATTTTACCTAGACTGTGTCCATATGAAAAAAGCCAACTCTTCATAAGCAGATGTTTGAGAAGGTAGGCCTTGGTTGTTTCGGTGCGATTTAGGTATGATTACATATATATATCTGACTCTTCTTGAATCTCGCAATGACAAAGAATGTGTATTAGGTCATTCTTTTACTATCATAGTCTCAATTTGGTGTACTAGGTTATTATTTTATTATCGTTGGGGCATTTTCACAAACCTATTACAAGTGTTATTGTCCAGAATCCAATCTATGGTGGACACACCTACTGTTACATGCCGATAGTAGTTATGACTCCTTTTTTGCACGCATAGTATGCAAATTTGATGAAACTCGAGGATTGTAGTTTTATGATTGCAATACGAGGGAGAAGAAACTTCTGATTTCTTTAACAATGGGCAGGCTACGAGCAAGAATTAAAATTTTGTTTTGCCGTATTATTTCAGTCACCTAAAAAATGAAAATATTTCGACATGTTTTGAAAATATTTTGTCTCGATTTGAAATTATAATAAAAAAAAATTAAGAATTATTATTTTCAAAATATTTTAAAATACATTGAAACATTCTAAAACAACGGTGTAAATGTATTGAAATATTACAAAATATCTCGAAACATATTTCAAAATATTAGAATTTCGATTTCATTACTAATTTATTTCGATCTCTTTAAAAATAAAAATATTTCGGACATTTCAAAACGAAAATTTGATCTTTAGCTGCAAGGTCTATTAGCTAAGGATTATTACAGTGGATCTCAATCTCTTAATTTTGTTCAATGCTAAAATCGCAGGTGTATGACCAGTGGGCATGGCTAAACAGACGTGTTGGAATTTATGTCCAAGCAAGCAAAGTGTTTTCAGTCATCCAACCGACCAATAGTACATTTTTAGACTTGGGGGAGGCTTTATTAGGTGCAGGATGTGGATGGGTGTTATTGTGATAGATTAATGACATTTTGGAAAATTTGGTAATTATTGCATTCATCATTCTCGATTCTTGACCACCACACCAAACCAAATGCCATTGCCTTCAAGTGAGGCTTGACAATGGTACCGCTAAATAAATTTCAGTACAATCCCTTTAAAATTTATTATTTTAATAAATATTTTTATTGATTATTTTATAAATAAAAAATTTATTATTTTTGTGATTAATTTATTATTTTTATGATTTTTTTTTTATCACATTTGAGTAATGTATATTTAAAAAAATAGTTAATTTTCTAGTACTACAAAACTTTTTAGACAATCTCAACGGATTAGATCTCAACTGATCTGAATCTGACATGATTTTAAAAAAATTTGACTCTTTCATAGTTCATATCCAACTCCAATAAAAAGATATAATCCAATTCCAGTAACTCAGTTACAACATTACTTTTGCAAATTGCAACTCAATTTCTTCATCAATCGCTCAATTTTATTGCACAAATGTAGTTCGAATCATATCACAATTGAATCGAATATTGATACATTTCAATCTAAGCAATATAATAAATCATAGTGTGATTAACGTTGTGGATGATAAGTGAAAAAAAATAATAATTTATTTCTGATTAAACAGATTCAATTTATCCACAATCCAACCCACCACCAGACACCAAGCACGCGCCTCCGCGTACACCAAGTTTGTGTAGGAGGAACATTTCTTTCGTGGGTCACGATTGGAACAACATATTGTCATTTAGTGAAACAATATATATATATACATATCATTAAATTCATCCGACGATTTGAAATAGATTCATTCAATAGTTACTAACATCATTTTCAAAACTATTTACATTACACAGTGTCTGAAGACACGAGTTATCCCTAGTAAAATATAAAACAAGACAAACTTCACTAAGTTCATCCGATGATCTCAAATAGACTCATCCAACGGCCACTAATATCCCTTTCAAAACCATTCATATTAAATTTTTCTTTTCTAAATTCATTATTTTTTACTTAAGCGTTATATCGTAATTCTAAACACGGATTATCCCTAATATATTAACAAGTGATGCAAGTGGGCCTTAACAAGGGAGCCAAATCTCCTTGGGGGGAAAATCATATGAGCCTATTGTATGATAGATCTAATCATTTAGATGCATGACCTCTGTGAAGATGAATTAAATATTTTCTTAAAATGTCAATTTTTCCATTTAATAACTAATAATTATTGCCTCAATGTCTCCATAGTCGCAATCTAAGTTTTTATTTTTTCCATTAAAATAGCACCACCTAATTGAACAACATAACTTAACCGGTGAAGTTATTAGATAGTCTTATTAGAGACGTCATTGTTAATGAACCCTAACCTTCTCGAGATTAGTGTAGTAATAGATAATAAAATATTGCATTTTTAACAGATACAAAAAATTACTATGTAGTGAATGTTAAAATTCGAATTCATGATTAAGAATAGTATACTTTTACAATGTGAAGGAGGAGACAAGAGCAAAGGTTAGGCCTCCTACTCATTTAAATTTAAATCCAACAGCAATCTAGTAAAGCCTACTCATTTCAGCAGAGTATTATGAACACCCCATTTTTATATGTGAGTTTTGGTAAAACGTATACCCCTCTTTTGAAAAGGAAGGATGGGTAGGGTATGTAGCCATAGGGAATATGCTAGGATATTTAGGTGATATATGTAATTTATATGTAGTGTAGACTATAAAGTTGTATATTTGTACAATAGTCATTTGAACAACTTAGAGCAACTCCAAAGAGGAGCGACATTAGTGGTGGCAACTTTTGATGTCACCCCAAATTCAAAATTCTCGACCCCAAGGAGAGTGACATCAAGAGTTGTAAAATGACATCAAGACTCTTAGGGTGATATTTATGGCAACTCTGGAGAAAGAGAAAGGGAGAGATTGCAAATGAGTTGATAAATATAAATCCGTTAAATTGCTGAATGATCCAACGATGAATATAGATCCAACGATTCATATACATTGATGAATGAAAATATGAAAATGACACTTCATTTTGACACCTGTCATTAGAATAGATTTATAATTTAGGAATATCAAAATACTGTTCAAAATTATAAATAAGTGATTTAACATCCCAAAATAGCAACTCCCTTTATAGTTGCTCTTATGATCATAACATAAAGTTGGGACTAGTGGACGACTTATATTAAGTAGACTCAAAAGAGAATGGGTCACTGAGCAAAGTAAACCGAAACATAGAGAAATAGAGTGGAAAGCACAACAAATAGGACTAGGTTTCGTAGTTAGATTAGAATTAGTTTTATTAACTTATATCTATACATATATTGTATAACCCTATGAGATTCTTATATATAGCAACAACTGTCATTTCTGTAGAACGTAAATAGAATTGAGAAAATTACTAATAAGTATTATTTTTTCTTACAAACATCCATTAAGTCATATCATTTTTGTTTTATATTAATAAAGTCTTAATGCAATTATATTCCAATATTATCCTTACCCTTTATTATTAAAACACTTTCATTTTTTTGTATTCTTATGTCAATTCGGCGGCACACTCTTGAGGCATTTCAATTGCTATGTGGCTTTGCATTATTTCTGGTATGTCAATCTCGGCGGCACACCCTTGGTACTTTGCAATTGCTATGTAAATGTATTTTTTTTCTTACAATAAGTTAATCCTTACTTCAATTAAGGTAATATTATTATATTACAGATTCTATTGATACATTATTTTGTTGGTTTTAAATTATTTTATTAATTTATATTAGATTTAAAATGATTAAGTAAGGAATTTATTTTAGTTGTTGTGTCTGAATTGATAACGACATTAAAGTGGAATTAATCGACAAATATTATCAATGTAATTTTTTTTAACCTTTCTTATTTTATTAAATACTCTGCAAATATTGTCTCAGGTTTTAAGATTAGGTACCCTAATGAGATAAGAAATAAGAAAATGCGAACTTTCTTTGGATCTTGCCACGAAGTTTATGTTAGCTGATTTTTTTTTAATTTTTTTTTACAGGTTTTCAATATTACTTTTGTAAGCAAGAAATTTTTGTCCTCTTAATTGGTATTTAGAATGCAAAAAAATTAAAAAAAATGGTAATTAAAGAACAAAAATACCAAATCACGTAAATCTTGTATTTTTTTTTTTAATTATATACCGCAATGCACGTTCACAATACATAAACTTTTACTACGCATGAGGACCAACAAGTCATATATTCGGATCAACAAAAAAGGCTATAATATAAAATAGAGCAGATTCAATAAACCCATTCGGCATTTTCAAATATCATCTAATGACCACCAACATCCTTTTTAAGATTATTCACGTTGTACCATGCCTTCAAATAAATCACCCTTTATTCAAGATATTTAATATCATTTAATGCTTTCATCTGAGTTACCCACATTTTTTTTTATTATTAAAAAAAACCGAGTTATCCCACTCCCCACCCACATATTCATAGTATTCTTTATTCTTTACTTCTTGTGGGGCTTACACTTTACCCAATTAGTCATACTAAGCTTTCATGACTTGTGTGTCACAATCAGTAGGAAATAGACCCAACATCAGAATGGGAGCACTTAAATGAATGGTTGGTGGGGGGTATTAAATAGAACAAGGACACTTGTCCTACTTAAATGATCACTTACTCAAATTTTAACATCAACCCTTCCTTTTTATTTTTTAACCTTTAACGATTTTTAAATTCGCTTACGTACATTTCGATTAATTTCTTTTCTTTTTCAGTTTGATCAACAATATATCATTCACGTCAGAATTACAATATTCATGAAAAATAAATCTTTCGTAACTTGACATTAAAAAATTTCCAATATTCGAATTTAGAACGAACACATCAACCCTTTCAACAAAGATCATTCACCACCCTTGGCACATTAAATAATTTATTTTACTGATAATTTGTCCAAAATAGTTGGATTATGGATGTAAGCAAAGATATATGCAGAGTTTTGTTCATTGGCCGAAAACTAT